TTCACCAACGGTCACCGGAAACACCGACTGTGGTCATTTCAACACGCCTTCGTCGCGCTCCTGCCGTTGGTGCGATAAGAAGCTGGAAACCGATCGAGCAGTTCGCGTCCATGCTCGCGGTCATGTGTACGGTTGCAAATGCCCAATATGCGGAAAGACATTCAGCCGTCATTGGTTGCTGCAGGGGCACATACGAACCCATACAGGTAAACACGTTAAGATTTTCAGGACTTGGACGTATTGCAAATATGAAACGACCCGGTCGCCAAGGTTCTGTATTCGAAGTGTCCAAGATGTTCAACATTTTACGGCATTGGGCGAAACTTGTCACGATACTTTAGTTTTAATTACATAAAAGTGCGGACAAAGTCTTCTGAATCAGGACTCATACTATACTTGCAAGACAGTCGCAGCAGGTTGCAGCTTCGGTAGACAAAAAAAATATTGTCATCCTGACAGAGTAGCGCAAGCATAATATCTTATGGAAAGAAACTGAATATCTAATGATATTCTTTCATGTGAGATAGTCTTCGGTTGTCTGTACGTTTCTTCAGTTGGGCCTACTGTGCTTATGCGGAGTAACCCAGTAAAATATCGATTAGCCTTGTACAATGTCTAGAAGCCTAGCTGGAACTCAGTAACGGTATAAGAAATGACCCCAGTGGTCTTGGACACAAGAAATGGAGCGATATTAAAGTGTTGATTAGGACTGCTAATGTTTCAGTCAAACTACACTGGCCATCCTCATGGCTGACAGTGCGGATGATCACTGTACTGGGTCAGCAGTTCTACTAACGGTTTTAGCATCTGCCTATCCCTAGTGTCTAGAACCACTGAAACATATTTTCATTGACGAAGAGTACAGAATTAGAATGAATTTTCGAAATCACTCAGTACTACTTTACAGTTTCGTCACTGATTAATGCAAAAGACTTAAGTTCAAATTATGCCTTAGTATACTTAAACTGAGCTAAGTGCAAAGTGTGAAAATTTAGGCGCAAGGTTTGTGACCTCATGTCGCTTTCTGCTCCTGAGCTTTTTTCAAATAAAAGCGCCTTCCTTTAATAGCTTATACGTTTTAAAACCATTACTTTTCGCTCAGAAATGGGAAATATGGGCTATAAATTTCTCACATAGCTCTATATAAATGAGCCATCGCAAGTCGTTCCTGATCTAGGTACCTCCGCCGAGGTTGCTGTGCTTATGACTAGCCAATAGGATGCTACGTATCCTTCAGCTATGAGGCCTAATGTTAAATTAACGCAGCTTCATTGCATATAACTTATCGGCGTAAGAATATGTTCA